GGGATCTGGCTATCCTTGTAGTATATAGTCCTTGGGTCACCACTGATCTAGAGTGTATATATATATATATTATATGTATATATATGTATGCATGTGTATATATATACACAGAAATCTAGAAAATTTTTTTTCTAGACAGTACATAATTAATGGCAACTGGTTCTTTATTTTGATCAGCAGAAACTTATTGCTCTATTGATACATCTTTCAATCATACATCATAAAGAAAACCTTACTGAATACAATTTTATTTTGACATTTTAACATGAAACAAGTACAGAGTTTTTTTATTGTGCTAGCTAGATAGCAAATTTTTAAACATTAAAGAAAATTTGGTAATTGGAGTTATTACTTTTTGATATTTGTACAACTTTTTGAAATTTATAAAGTTAGTATTAATTTATATTAGAAAAAAATTCATCTATTACATAACTAAATTCCTCTTTCTACATAAATACAAACATGAAAATAGAAATATCAATTCAAATTACTAATTGATTATTTTTTTTAATTAAAAGAAACCTTTTTTTGAGGAAGTATACATTTACTGTTTTTGTAATTTACTATTGATATTTTAAATTTAATGAAAACTTTTACAAAAGTAATATTAAATGTGCAATTTCATATTAGAATGATACAAGAAAAATACTATACTTGTTGTTAAAAAGAACAAGTGACATAATATAGGACTAAAATATATTTTTCTTCATAACTCCCAAAACAAAAATTTTTGTTTAATTCAGAATTTAAAAATTACTGTCTAGCTAATTGAATTAACTGATCTTGATCAGTTTACAGATGCTGCAATTTTTGTTGCACAATAAAAAAACTATCATGTATTTGGTATGTTTACTTTGCTTCACATAAGTGAAAATGGAAATCACAAATGAATTCCAAGGCTCTTTTCTGTTAACCAATATGCACTGGCTTGTTGTTCCTTCAAGCAAAAATATGAGTACTTTGGCATTGAAGTAACATGAGTATACAGACAAACATACACAAGCACACACACTGAAATCCACATGTTTACACCCTGTTTTATGATAAGTCTTTCAAATAGTCTTTATATGTTCTGTCCTTCATCAAACACACAAAATCAAGAAGCACCAAGAGAAACAACTCGTACAAGGCAATTCTATCCCTGAGACCATCTCTAAATAAATGAGCACTTGGATCATTCTGTAAGATTAATACATACATCAATCAATCTACAAACAGATTAAACAATTTATGCTATTATGAGCAGGACCTAGCAGATCAAGGACTATTGTATATAGCAGTTTCTATTTGGTACACTACAAGGCATATTTTGGATACATTACTGTCTCTTGACAATTTTTTAATTGTTTCAGATGCAGAGTACTTGTTAGCTTAAGGTCACAGTACTGTAACAATATATCAATATGACTCATTTTTTAACTAGTCAGAAATTATACAGATTTCAAACACACATATTTTCAATAACTGTAACCTGAACAATAAAATTTTAAATTATCAATTAAACTATTTTTCTGTGATAAATAGGTAAATTGATCATATTTAACTAAAAGTTACATAAGATATTTATACATATATAAAATACTTTCATGTCAATATATTGTTACAGATATATAAGTATAACAACACATTTATGTTTACCTGGATACAGTCAGCACCATTTTGGCAATGTTGGTAATTATAGCATGTACTTCATCACCAGAATTTATTAAATTTATTAACATGAACTTGATTACAGGTTTACAGGCATTTTAATATTTAATAACTACTGTACAGTTCTTAATCTACCAGATTAAATATTTAAATGCAGATACCCTGCTTATATTAATAATAGAATATATTTCTGATCTCTAATGTTAGCCATTAATTATACAGATGAAAACTAATAAAGGCAGAATATATTTGCCTTTCATCAATGAAAAGATAGGATTAAAAAAAGTAAATTACTATTAAATATAATATAAATACAGAGTTCTTGCATTAATATTTATAATGATTATACAGTATATAAAAGAGTGATATCCATGTATTCTCTTATGTAGCAACTGCATGCTTTTTTTATTCTTACAGATCACCGATTGCTAAATAATATTAAATTATACATGAATATCCTAGTAAAATAAAATTTATCAATAAAGTTTTAAAATATCTGACAATTGAGAAAATTCGGAATATGAATGGACATTAATTCTTTGCAACAACATTGTCCTTTAGCTAAGGACCAATCTGAGATTGATAGGATATACTTGGCTGCACTCTTTGAAATTCGGATTATTATTATTATTATTGTTATCATCATAATAATTATCATTATATTAAGAAGAAACTGTAGGAAACACTAAAACAGGAATTTTCTAAAATCATTTGGATTTGTTGCTAAGATCTTCTTAATAAATACCAAAATTGATAATAGTAATATTTTTAGGCAGTGAAACTTGTCATAGGGGAAAATAGATTAAAAATTGTGACCAATACAAAATTATTAACTACTGTTTTGAAATTTCTTAGTTTTTAAATTAAACAATAATGAGATTTCAAATTCAGATTATAACATATATTTTCATGATTAAAATTAGATATACTATTCATTATTAAACATGCTTATCATATTTGTTGAATAAGTTTTTATTTCATATTTATTTCAGCTCAATACAGAAATTTATTCTATATCAAAAAGTTTAATTCATAAGTTTTTATAATTTTAAAACATTTTAAAGTTATATATTTTAAAATAGTTCTGTAAGATTTTAATAAAGACTCACTTCAGGAATCTCTACAATATTTTTTTAATAATTCACGTTTAATGTCTAATTATTATACTAATTCAACAAAATTAATGATAGCATGTTTAAAGTCATTTATAATAGAATATTAGTTTTAAGAGAAAAATTGTTAATTACTGTATTTGATAGACAAAAATTAAGTGATAAAATATTTTAAGATTCTACTGAGGCACAGTTCTTAATCTGTTTGTTTTGTATAATTTTACCACAATTATTTGCAATACATATAATTAAACTACAATTATCACTATCTCTTGAGCCTTCTCATGATACTTTTCTAAATCTAACGAATACTAATGGACAAACTACTATTGACAACATTAATACAGAGATGAAAATGGAAAAGTGAGATTTGCCAATAAGACCCTGTTAAAACTAGGAGTCTGTGAAAAGGGACTCCTAAAATGAGTATTTTACATGACAATATACGCATTTTGAATATTGATTTAAAATCTACAGACACAAATAAAACAGGGCTGCTATTTTAATAAAATGTTAAACAAAATTTTTACTATTCCACAATTATCCTATATAAAGAAGCAATGAATAATTGTGGAGTAAGATAAATTGGCCTGCAAATATAGTATTAATTTTAAAGTGGATTTCAAAAAATTTATATACACTTGATATAACAGTTTCACTACAAAGTGATAATACAAACACATCCATGCAACAATTCTATAATAATCTTAAGCTTTACAAAAATCATTAAAACATTGTGCCTTAAAAAAATGTGCTGTTAACACACAAAGTAAAAAAATTCATCACAGACAATAATGATTATATAGTATATTATGGAGATTTGTCTAATTATTGAGCTTTAACCTGTGACCTCACAGTAAAATCTGTGTAAGCCTTTAATGCACATGAGAAATGATTCTGAAATAAACTGTCCATCGTATTTTTTGAATAAATGTAAATAACTTCACTAAAAGTGGACATGCAAGACAAATGAAGCTAAATGTGACCAACTTCATAAGAATAACAAGTATCTATACATATTTAGTAGAACCAATGATTTGGTCCAATAAATCTGACAGTGTTATTCTTTATGAACAGAATAAGATACTCCTTGTTCCCATTTGGAAATAATGTATGACTACATTATATAAAATTTTCATACATAAAAAATGTATTAGTTTGATAAAATAAAAGCTTCTTTAGTAGTATTTCTCATCTAATAAACAATTATAAAAAAAAAAAAATTGAAAGAAGCAATAAAAGCAATACTAATACTCAGATTCATTATACATTCTATTTCCATGTTAAATTTAAATGTTAAGAGTATCCTTATTCTGTGAAAGAAATAACGCTGATTTCACAGGAATGTACAAAAAATTGAATATTAAGGTAGCACCATTCAGCATTACTTAGCACCTTACAGGGATGATGGACATGAATTGCTGCATTATTGATAACTGTCATTATCTGTTAAAGAAGAGGATTTTTTTTTCTTGGAAAATTTTTATCACTGATAAATTGACACAAATATTTTCCATTTTTCCTCTTTTAACAGTATACAGTATGCATGTATGTATGTATATATATATATATATATATATATATACAAATATATATTTATATATAAATGTAAATATATATATTTACATATTGGCAGCAGATCTCTCATATGAGATGAACCATTACATCTCTGTTTTGTTAACAAATATATCAATTAAAAGCCAGTATATAATACTTAAAACAGTGTGGAAATAGTAGTATATTACTAATGACAAAAAACTGACAGTACATAAGATCAAGACAAATATTCCCTTTTTAATTTTTTTTGTTGTGTATATGTATAATGGGAATAGTAAAAAGTATCCAATGATATAAGCAAAAGCTTCTTCTTGGCACTATAAAGTAAAATTAATGAACAGAAGATAAAATAAAAGGAAATAAATAATATCTTACTTTCGAAAAAAATACTACTACACAACAGATAAAAGTTGTGCAATTTACCTAAATGGAAGCTAAGTTAGTTATAGATTTCCACATCATTTAATAAATAAAATCAAAAATTGCACCATCCCATCATTCTATGTACTCACAAAAAATATAAAATAAGAATTTTAAATTAATAAAATATTGGAATGCAAAATTTTAAAAAGTTATTATATAGAATTGATAATGAAATTTGGTTTTAGTTTAATAATAAATTGTAATTATTATATCTTGATGCTTCTTTGAACATATTTAAAAATGTAGATTAATCTTTGCTTTAAATATGAACTTTTAATTTGATTACTTTTTATTCAAATGAACTGTACTGAATTTTTCAGAAAATCATTTTGCTTTTTTAGTTTTTCTTTTTTTAAAAAAGTCATTCTTTAAGAGGATGGAGAAGCTGGTTGATTTGGCTTATAAATTTTTCTTTTTTAAGATTATCTTTACTGTGGCACAATAGCATTTAAAGATATACTTACATTAATAGCCTTCACAATATTCTTCAATTATAAAATTAATCCAATAGTTGAGTAAAATCAGGACTGCCTGAAGGGTGATACTGATGAGAATTGTGCAAATGCTGTGTATGGAGTGTTGGGGAATTATCATGTTTTGAATCATTCTGATGTAATTCAGAATTAGGATGTGGCATAGAGCTTGAAGCAAAAAGAGAGAGGCGCGAAAGAGGGGTGGTGTGCTGAGATATGGGATTGTAGGAACTCAGACCAGAATGAGGCAAAAATGTATCATAATGTGATCTGGCGATATGACTGTGTGGAAGCCAACGAGGTGAAGGAGCAATAGGTGTAGGAATGGGGGTTGATGGAGCAGAATAAAATGCCCTTGAATCAGGATTTGTATTTGACAAATCTGATGGGCAGGCCAAAGGTGGAGAACTAGAAATACGAGGCTGAGAAACATGAGGAGGAGGAGAATGAATTGAATTTGGCGAAAGTGGATCATTTCCCATTTGATGATTAGGAGTTTGTGAATTTTGAGCACGTGGTACTTTGTTGTGAAGGACAACTGGTGGCGAAGAATGCATTTCACCAATAGGAGAGGGACTTGAAATTTGAGAAGGATGAGAACTTGGAGAAATGCTATGCTGACGCTGAAGCTGATTAATGGGTGGAATTCTAGGTGTTGGATGAAGTGGTGACATTGGTGAATCAAGAGTCTTATACTCATTTTGAGATAAATCACCATATGGAACACCCATTAGAGATCTTGATGTGGGAACAGGTAATTGCAAATTTTGCTGGTCTAATTTTGAATCATTTGCTGTGGCCATCGGAGAACTAAGATTTGGTGCCATGGATTGAGATGGTGAAGATTGTGAATTAGGATATTGAGGAAGTTGAGATGATAATCGCCGAATACCAGAATTAGGTGGATGATTTGAACCACCACGAGAGGCATAATTTCTTCGAGAAGGTAATTGACCTGTATGACGTTGGATATGAGTTTTAAGATTTCCTTTCTGAGAAAAAGTTTTTCCACAAAGTGTGCATGGGAACCTGTCATCTTTATTGTGCGTTCTCATATGCGTCTGCATATTCCCCTTCTGAGAAAAGGATTTTCCACAGAAAGTACAGGCAAAAGGCTTCTCTTTAGTATGTACACTTCGTACATGGGTTTTCAAGTTACCTTTTTGTGTAAAACGTTTACCACAATTATCACAGCCAAATTCTTTTTCTCCAGTATGAATTTTCATATGAGTATCAACATTACCTTTTTGTGTAAAGCATTTTCCACAAATGCTACAAGAATATGGTTTTTCACCTGTATGAATCATCATATGGGTCTTCAGGTTCCCTTTTTGTGTGAAATATTTATGACAAACAGGGCAAATAAACTGTTTATTTGATGGTGCTCTTGGTCGATTTGCCATGGAAGAAGATGTGACAGGAAGATTTTGTGGTGGTCTATTGTCCATAGGAATAGTAGGTGAAGCAAGGTTTAAAGGTTTCCTCTCTTGCATTGTAGGACATTGATTTAGAGAGCCACTGGTGCCTGCCAATCTTGCACTAGTACAAGAATTGTTATCTCTTTGAACATTGTCACAAAGTGCAAAATATCGTTGGCAAATCTCACATGGATAAGGCTTATCCTTCGCATCTGGGTGTGGGCACTTATGGGTACGTTCGTTGAATGTAGACATCTTCTCAATATAAGTGGAAGCAGCTGCCAATTGAGATATGCCAGTTCCAAAGTGTAATGGATTTTTTTTCAAAAAAAGATCAGTAAGACTTGCCTGATAACCGGGAGGCCAGCTTTTCTGATTGAGGGAAGATGAACTCACCCAAGGGTAGGCGGTATTCTGCATGATGGTTTATTTTGAATTTAGATAGAAGACAGTAGTCCTGTCAGCTGATTTAGTCAGATTATGTTTTATCAGACTGAAGTCAACAGATTTTGTATCAACTTCATATTGAAGAAAGAAAGTTTTCTTCAGAAATACAGTTGGCAGAAAATAGGAAACTGGGATGCCAATGGCTAAAAAATAAAAAAAAAAATTATTATTAAATTATAGTTAGTTATTGCTTATAAAATACAAATAAATTATGTAAAACTAGGTTAAGTTAAAAAATAGTATACTAAAATTTGAAAAGAGTACAGTTTTACATAATATATTAATATGGATATGATATATCTTAAACTTCAATATTATAAAAATTTTTGTTATATAAGATTATTTTTCCATAAAAATTAGAATTGAGGAAATATGATATATATAAAATACACTTTGCATAATAATTAATTCTAAGATACATTTTTTAAAGCCCATTTTTACTTGTTCAAAATAGTAATGAGTCTTACATTTGCAATCTAAAACAACAGTAAAAAATTATTGGTGATAATATACAGCACATGATGCATTATGTATCATTATACATGTTTTTGATTGTACTATTTAATAGTAACATTAATTCAAATGAGTTTTCTAATAATCAATTAAAATTTTTTTAATGTTTAAAATGCTCTCAAGATGACATTACGATCAACAACACACTTATAGAAAAAATTGGAAACAAACCAAAATATCAATAACTTTAAAACATTGCTAGAAAAGTATAGAAGGTATAATCAACACAAATGATTTTGACCCCGTTCAGAGGTCTGCCTCAGGTTAAAAAACATATACATAACAATATTAAATAAAAGAACTGTTATAGTTCTAATGACAGAACTATAACAGCTTATTTTAAATTTAAACATTCAAAAACAAATAATTTATGCATTTCGAAATTTGACATATTAAAACAAAAACATAAAATAACATTATTTTATTTTTTAATTTCATATGTTATTAAGTTTAAATGTTGAGAATGTATATTCTATTTTGCTATTCATTTTATGTGATTCAAGATATTTAACACCCATTCTTAGACAATCATATGTTTGAAAATGTTAACATCTAAACTTAAAAAATTGCAGGAGAATTAAGATATGGAATTATGAATGTTTTTTCATAAATGTATATGCACATTTTGCAAATAAACAACACGCTATTTTTATGCAATGTACATTAGAAACTTACTTTCCAAGAGATCAAATATATTATATTAATTTTTACATGTAACTCATAATATATAACCTATATTGGTCCTAATAAGTTTTATACTCTGTATAAAACTTATTAGGATAAAAGCAAAATTTTCACATAATCTGCAACTAATCTCCAAATTTGCTGTTGAAAACATGACACTTAACCAGTATGCAGTTTAGAAGGCATATCAAACATTCCAATTTTTCCTTGTTTTTCATTTAATTATTTCTGTTAGCAATTCATTGTAGATTTATTTATAATAAGTGAAATGGGAAAAAATGGAATACCTGACAGAACCATGTAAATTGCAATAAATATTCATAATACAAAACGACTGCAGAGTAAAATAAATTATCAATAAAAGTATCATCATCATTTCATTTTTGTTTTATTTATAAAATAATAATAATGGCTGGTAAAATAACAAAGTAATTCACAAAAAATTAGAAGAAACATTAAAATAAAAGTGTTTTCATACATCAGGAATATACATTAACAGTCTCTCAATGGAGTTAATCTTTCTTTAGCAGCTCTAAAAATCTCAAACTATTTTAATGTCAATAATATCTGTAATATACTTAATGTTTGAAGGTCATCAATTAAAGCATTGTATTTGATTACAAAGAAAATTTACAGGAGAGAACTAATGTTGAGGGGTATGTGTGTGTGTATATATATATAGGTATCTTTAGTAGTTTTAGAAAAATTGCAATGACAAATGCATATGGCTGCAATATATAAAGTATCTTTTTGTTTTCTAAAAATGGTTTTAGTAGCTGATATGATTTCATAGTTATAATTTAAAATTGGCATATAACTTGTTTCCATCTTATTACTGCACCTACTTTCATCTCAAATTTCTCTAAATATAAGTAAATTTTATGTGAATATATGAATTTATCAAACACTCATTGCACTCAAATATACTCTAAATAAATTCAATAGATTATTACTTTTTTAACTGTTACTAAATTAGTAGATTATTCAATAATATTTTGTTTGCATAATAATTTACAGATTATAATTTTTTAACTTTGAAATTACATAATGATATGATATATTGTTATTCTATTTAAGAACAATTTTTTTTAAATAATTATTCAAAACCCATACTATTAAATCCACTCAATGTAGTGTTTCAAATGTATATTAATTAACTAGCATTTGTAGGACATCCATTTATTTATGGAATGAGAAAAACCTTGATACATGTGAGGTAGTCAATAAATTGAAAAACAAATATTAGCATGTTTATTATTTTGAATAAGTATACTTGATTCTGATATTGTAAATAAATCCATTTATAACTGTGGTATATCAATGCCATATTTTTACTTTAATTTTTAGTATTACATGATATTTTTCTTTTCTCACATTGTTATATTTTTTTTAGCTATCTCCAAATTCTCTCTCTTTCCGCTCTCCTTTTTCTTTTTTCCCCCCTTCTTTTTATTCTTTGGTAATCCAAGGTTGAGATACCCATGGAAGAGAGAAAGGGGCTATCATAGGATATGGTAATCAAATATTTGATTATCAATCAAATATTATATTAATATTATATTATATTATATTATATTAATATTATATTATATAATCAAATATTTGAGAGAAAAAAAATTTGTGAGATGTATGTAAGTCTGTTGAAGTAAGGTAATGTGATGCTGTTTGGTGGATTAAAAGAAAGTATGGTGTGTTGAGACTGAAGAGTGAACATAACAAGGAAAAGAATAGAAATCCAAGCCCATCAATAAAAGAAATACTGAATGATGATAAGTTCAATACAATTGGTATTTCTTAAATGAACAATTTTTCTTCCTAATCTAACTATTAGTGGCTCATCCTATAAATATGAAAGGAATATATAATAGAAAATCAACAAGGAATCAAAACATCATTGGATATCAAATTACTAGCAAGTTTATACAACAAACAATTCTTGTTTTTTTTTTTGCCAAATTAATTTTTTTCCTATTCCTTTGTTTTATTGCCCTTTTTCTCTATTAGGTTAAATAGTAAGTCAAGTAGTTTATCATATTTCTGATTCATTATCAACAACTTAATGATTTCTAACTGATTATGTTAGATTTGTTACATTTAATGGTTGAAAATGTACATTTCATTGACTAGACAATTTCAATTATATATATTTCAAACTTGACTTTAAAAACTAAACTGTTCCAAAATTTTAAATTTTATGCTGTAATTGGTTATAAAAAGTTCAAGTGACTGAAGATGACCTAAGAAATAATGTAAATATATGTTCTCCTTCACAGAGAATTTTTCTCCTCATTTTTCTTTTCACACTCAAAGTTTTTTTTATGATCCATTGTATTTTAGAAGTAATTTTTTTACTGTATCTTTGATTTGGTTTATAATTTTATAGCGGTGAGGTGTAATAAAAAGAAAATCTGTTATAGTGACTAATGGTTTTTTTGAGAAAATAAAAGTGAGATCAAAAAAAAAAAAAAAAAAAAAAAAAAATGAAAAGTAATTGTAAAAGTTGTACAATTGGTGGTTTACAATTGTAATAGTAATTATCAATCAATCAATCAAAGCTTTATTGTACTAAGGAAAAATCCTTATTTAATAGTAATTATAGCACTTTTAAAACTCCCTTTTTAGTTCTTAGCATTTTATTAACAGTTTGTGTAACAGATTTGCAGCTTAATTAATTTCTGAACTGGCATTGGGCTGGTAATTTTAAATCAAGGTCAGCAGTTGACAAAAGTTTAAAATATAAATAAAATTACTGTATTTTAAATGAAAAAATATATAAAATTATTTTTAATATTCAGTAAGTTTATTTAAAATGATAAAACAACTTTCTTATTATAATCATGAAAAGACAATTATTTTATTTAATTGTTGATATGAAGTAACACATCAGTGTTGCGGCACTACAATCATGATATTTTAGCATAATTAAGATGTACTTGCTAGTACAGGTAGGCCTCCTACAACGCGGTAGATATGTTCCTTGAAAATACCGTGTTGTGGGAAATCGCGTTATAGGAGACACCAACTTAATACAATAACTGGGATTCGGTTCTAAAAGAGAAGAACTTGGCGTTTGAATGGTGTTTTTTGAATTTTTCAAACCAGCCATTGCTAGCCACGAATTTAACACTGGTTTCATCAGCCGACGACTGTCCCATTTGTTTTAAATAATCAAATATTTTTAAGGCTTTGTGTTTAAGTGCAGTTTTATTTAAAGGCAACCGTTTCTTGTTCATATCTGCTACCCATAATATTAGCGCTTGTTCCATTTTTTCCATTATAGGTGCTCTCGGACTAGCAACATTTTTCGCATGAATAGATGATCCGGATGCGACCAAATTTCTGATCTTTTCTCCCGACCGAATCGTTGACTCATTTAAATTAAAATACCTACTGATATCAGCTATACGCTCTTGATATTTAATTCGATCCAAAATTTCTATCTTTGTTTGAAGAGTTATAAATTTCCTTTTTAACGACGGTCCTTTCTTTTCATTCGGCATTGTTATGGCTAAAATTTTTTCAAACAGTTTTGTGAACAGTAAAAATCGCAAAAAATAACTTCCTTTCACTATGTTGTTAAAAATATACACCCAATAGAAGTTTATACTGTATTTTGGACCATTTCTGCGGTCCCCACTTATTGAAAGGGTATAAATGATCGAAAATTTAGTGATATATTTGAGTGGGTAACTGATGCACATCTGTCTAGAAACCGGTCTTTCCCTGAAACTTTCGAGGGAATAACATGCCAACGTCCACAAACAGCTGTTTTCAAAGACTTTTAGCTCAGTATGCCAAACTACGGCGCGTATCACGTGATTCGTTGCGATTTTTCTGTTATGTGAAAATAATTCGTTTCTAAATACCGTAAACCGTGTTGTAAGAAAAATTCCACATTTTTCCAACCGCATTGGAGCGAAAACGTGTTGTAAAGGTACCGCATTGTAGGAGGCCTACCTGTACTTTCAACAGCTTACAGCCACCATCCTCAGGTGAACCTGTAAGCTGTCGAAAGTACTAGCAAGTATGTCTTAATTATGCTAAAAAATCATGATCATATGCTGCAACACTGATATATTAATTATGTTACCATGAAAGTTTTTGTTTTGATTCATATATGATGATGTAATATGCCAAATTTTCAAATACTATTCATATGATTCTAAAGTAAAATGATTTTTAAAATATGATTTTAAAGTCATTTGAAAAATTGATAAAATTTGAATTTGAGTGTCAAATTGAATGTGATCAAATTTTGTTCTTCTCTCAGTTAGCATATTGGCTAGCAAAGCCAGTTTTCAAAGGTGGCAACCTACTCAGTATTGATATTCTGTTTCAAATTATGCTAGCTTAAGCAGCATGATTAAACAACTATTCATTCCACACACATCAAATGGAAAAAGGCAAGAAAAGCACACAAGCACTTCTGACAAAGATCAATGAGGCATCAGTTGGAGAACCTTCCACATGTAAGAATGAGTTTTTCTTTAAGCTCTGTTCAACCTTTTTAGCTGCCAACATTCCATTTGCAAAGATGTCATCTACAAAGAATTGCAGATCTCTCTGTCTTTGAAAAATTCTTAGAAAAGTGGTCTGCCAGATCAGTTCATTATGTTAAATGCTACCTTGGAATGTGCCATAAAGTAATTGGAACTTAAAAAATTTTTATGCAGTTATGCTCTCTTTGTCAGATTGTCTTAGTCTTCAGGCTTCCTGTGCCAAGTGGCATGCTGGGTAATAAGCTATCTCCAGCATATGTGGTCAACTGCAATGGTTTCAGCATCATCCCATGAAATACTAATCTTCTTTAGATCTTTATACATAGAGTGCCAGGTTGTTTGTGGTCTACCTTGTTTTCTTTTTCCACAGTGTTGTTTCCATGCAAGGCTACTTTTGGTAAGCATTCCTCTGGCAGATGAAGTACATGCCCTGTAAAATGTATTTTGTAACAATGGTCCTATAGTTTATGTAGGCCACTTCTTCTGAGGACTTGCTCATTTGTGATATGATCACAATTTGTAATTCTAAGTATCCTTCAAAGACAGCATTGATGGAATATGTTGAATTTCTGAATACAGATTATGGAGGTGGAGGATATATATATACAGATATATATACACATAAAGCAGATTCCTATATTTGGATTATTATCAATGAGATAGCTGACGTTGAAGGTAGGTATTGCATATAGCAAAATGCTTAGTAAGCTTGACAAGGAAAAAGCTTACAAACTCCATATGATTTCCTGTTCAGAATTTGAGAAAATTATTCCACAATTACATGATTTATAACAATTCATTATATTCATTAATTTTTTCTTTTTCTTCTTCAGTATATGATTGACAAATTTACTTAAATATTCAGCTTCTTTTAAACTTAAATAAGCTGTACAACCAAGAAATGCACAAGGATGCTAGTTTTAGTTACAGATGCTACTCCTTACATGCTAAAAGTAGCTGGAATACTGACAAAATACAAGCCACAATCAAAACTATAGATAAACTAATAGTATTAGTTAAAATAGTTGTGAAAGCTTCTCAACAAATAAAATTTTGCCAATAGAAACCTCCAAACGTGTGCCCAACTTATGGGCAAGTGGTTGGGTCCATGTAGCAGTGAGGCTGGCAAGGTATGTTGTTAGAGACAACTTTATTCTATAGTAATAATTTTGAGAATGTTAAAGATACTATATAGTTCATTTATAAAATTTTATGTAGACACCAGAAAGCATTCATTCAGAGGATATTTGGTATATTCCAGTTGCTTCAAGATAGTAGATACTTCAAGCTAGCTTTCTCCCGTAAACAGTGATTATTCTTATATTCTCCCACTTTATAGAAACTGTCTCGTCCTTTACATACATTGTCAAAACTGTGGAAAGTATTTCTTTCTGGATGGTGTAATGATGTTCTTTAATTCTATTTATTAAGGAGTGGGCCATTGTGCTAATATATTCATAGTCTTGATTATTCTTGTCATCCATGAGCAAGACCCTATACACTCCCGATTTCCTCTCAGGATGTATTATATCCTTGTTGATCCTCCAGAATGACAAGATCTACATCATCTTATAGATGTTGGAATTTCTCCTATAAAATATGTTTGTATCTACGGAATACACCATCACCTTACTGATAATACAAAATATGAATATTGTAGCTGATGATCTTATAAGTTACCTTATTCTTGCCAATATGGTGAACATTATTATGGTTTTCAGTGTGAATATGGTACTTCTTACATAACTGCTTTGCCTTGTTGGAGTTATAACAAACTTTTGGTAGCTTCAATAAAGTAATATACTTCCTTCTGTTGATCTATAATACTGGTACAAGGTGTATGAATTCCTTGTACCTAATAATGTCCTAAAAGCAACCAACTTAAAATATATGGAACATAGAACATTAGTATGCCCTAATGTTCCATACATTTTAAGTTCTAATTCTAATTAACTGTTCTGGAAAGCTGAAAAAAACTGTTCAGATATTTTGTTAGTAATGACATTAAAAGTTAAGAAGTAAAATTTTCATAGTGAATTTTATATTCTACAAATTTCATGATTTGAAAACAGAGAAAAATTTTATTAATGAAATAATATTTTAATTTAAGTACAGTATGAAGTAAATAAAAACAAATAATTTGTTTTTTTTTTATAGGTGCATAAAAGATTAGTTTAAATAAAATTTTATACATCTGAGACAAAGTACAAACATTTTATCTTTTAATTAGTTTTTAACTTAGAAAAAACTTGTCATAGTTATGATTTTGTTTAAAAAGTTATGCAAAAAAATATACATTTAAAGAGCTATAATCAGAATTTAAAATATTTAAAATTTATATTTTTAATAGTTTAATTTATTGTAACAACTTTTGTTAGTCCAAAACTATTTGAGATTTCAATAACTATTAAAACCATTGCTGAAACAAAGTATATTCTTTTATTGTTGGGCTCACTGACTATATTTATATATTCCACAATAAGACTGGTTCAAAAATTAAAAAAGAAAAACAGATTGTAAACTATAAACAATATCTGCACTATGTATCGTACATCTTAACTCCCATGTTATTATACAGCAGAGACAGAATTCTAGGAAAAATATTAGAACACATTGCTGCCAAATGTTAAATATAAACAATCATTATGGTAGTGTCATACAGAACAGATAGAATGCACAACAGATAAAACTCAGATTCAAATTTTATGAAAATGATATATAGAAAAAAAAATTTAAAGAACACATAGCAATCAAGAAAAGTTTATGAAAGGAAATCTGTTAAACACATGTGAAGGAATACAAATCTCTTTACAAGAGGTGATATGACATTATATCTTGATTGTGGGTACTTTGAGAACAGTAAATCAGATGGCACCAATGTTGTTACACTTTAAAAGTAAATTTTGTACTTATACCTGTCTTTTAATAATTTTAGTTATTAATGAGAGGCTGCAAAATGAAAGTTGGCTCGAAATGCATATAATAATGGATTTAATCAACCAAAATAAATATAATTAAATTCTACTTTTTAAATCATTAAATTACAGATAGAGTTCCCATACACCTTTAGATGCAGGATTACAGAATTTTCAAGAATTTAGTACAATAATTGTTGATTATAAAATGATGTCATTTTCTATTACAATAGTTTACTGATTAATTTTATTTCTTAGCAATTTTCATTAAAAAATATTTCTTTTTATGATTACAACAATTTTATGGTAAATAAGTAAGCTCATTAGATCATTACTATATTGGTAAAATGATATTTCTCCTATGTTTAAATTTGTTTTAATTCATTTTTAAATTTATAATTAAATTAAGAAAATAGATTAACTGAATAATTACATTTAAAAATATATGAGAATAAATGGGATAGGAGCAGGAATCATATTCAGCTAGTATGCACCAGTACAGAAGTAAAAGAAGTGTAGTCTTAGGTACTTTTGGTAACACAAGCTTATGGTAGCAAATAGCAATGGGAGGCTTATGTTGCATACTTGAACATCAAACTGTATGTAAGCATGTAAGAGATCCAAAGTATTTGTATGATTTCAAATGTACAATGTAAGCCTTCTGTTGTCATTAGATACTGAAAATATATAATAACTACACTAAAGTGTTGTGGCATTACCAATATCAACTTTTAGCATATGAAAATGTTCAGTAGTACAATCACATACACTGAACAAATTTACGGTGTGGTACAATTGATTAACAAATACAAAAACAAACGTTTTCGAACTGCTTCTGGGCTCTTCATCAGGTTCCTACAGTTTTAGCTCGTAAAATTTGATTATGAGATGGTAGTCCCGCTGTTGGAGAACAAAGTCCTCCCGAATATCATACTATATAGGAGATATATTGACGACATTATTATTTTTTGGAAAACTGTGCCTGATATAACAGTCTTAGTGGATGCTTATAATAATAACCCATATGGGTTGACGCTAGAATTAGAACAATCTGACCCTGCAGAGGTCCATTTCCTAGATGTAAATATTAAGTTAGAAAAAGATGGCATCAGCACTGCGGTGTACCATAAACCAGGACCTATGTCGTCGTACATCCCTGTGGGGTTATGCGATCCAATTTCCTACAAGATGGCGGCATATAAAGCCTTGATCAGAAGAGCCTTCACACGTTCTTCTAACGTACAGGCTCGTGATAAAGAGCTAGCATATATACAGTGAGTTGCTGCAAAACATGGTTACCGCAAACCTATACGTAAGATAAAAAAATTATAGGTGGATATATGTAGATAGCGCACGGCTGGTAGACCAACACATTGATAGCCAACCAGAAGACATAGAATGGATCCCCATCACCTATAACCCATATGTAAGATCTATATACGACAAGATTGCCAGGAAGCGTCAAATACGTATTGCTTACAGGAGGTGTCCCATTATTTTTAACATCTTAAGTAATGGGAAGGACCCTCCTAACCCCAGTAGAAGACCAGGAATCTATAGTGTCCCTTTGAGAGATAATAGATTCAATAAGGATTTAGTATATATAAGCTCTACTAAAAGATCCATAGGCATCAGAATGCAAGAGCATAGGGTGGATATTCGTCATGGGAGAACCAGCATGGCCCTCACAACATAGTAACAGATCTGGACATAGTTGCCAACTTTAATAGGGCCAATCTTCTCCTCGGGGCACCTCCCAATGAACATCTCAAGTGGTTAGAGGCAATGCACATCTTTAAATCCTCTATCGAAACTACGTGCATAAATTTTAAAGGGGAGATGATTTTGTCGATGGCCTGGCAAGAGTTGATACACAGCACGCTTTAGCCACTCATTATATCCGAGCAGGCAGACTTGTCACGGATGCGCGATGTATAAATTTAAAAGAACTGTTCGAACTCAAGAACGAAGTTATTTGCAAAGCATTCGATAATCGAATTTTACAAGCTAAAACTGTAGGAACCTGATGAAGAGTCCAGAAGGGGTTTGAAAACGTTTGTTTTTGTACTTGTTAATTGATCGTACCACGCCATAAATTGGTTCAGTGTATGTGATTGTTATATAAGTGTGGTGAGTAGTTAATTTTTTATATTGTTCAGTAGTACTTTCAGTAGTATAAAGTTACCATCATCAGGCGAATACTGAATACAACAGCTATTGAATTTTACGTTTTCCGAAAATGTAAAATTAGTAACACCACAACACTTAAGAGTAGTTATTATATATTCAGAAGTTGGCATGAAGCATAATTTATTTTATTTTAGATACTGAAAATCTGCATCATCAGATTCAGAACAATATATACTTGTACAATAAGTCAAAATATATTAAAATATCTTTTTTATATTTAATTCTTTTATTATTATTATTTTCTTTACAGTTTTCTTTTTAGATCTAAACTTCTTTTTTAAACTCTATCTTAATAGTATGCTACATATAATATACTATTATATCCAATGCCGGATTAACCAATAGACAAATAAGATAATGTCTAGGACCCATAATTCAGAGAGGCAGAGAAAAAAACTAAATAAACAAAAAATAAATGAAGATAAATTTAAAAAATAAAAATTTTAAAAATATTTTTACTAATACAGTATAAAATATTTATGTTGTTATTTTAAAATAATACAAATAAATGTCATTATAATAATTGATTAACAAACAATTATTTATTGTGACATCGTCACAATGCCAGACTACAATTTTTAAATTGAATTGCAATTTTTGAATTAAAAAAAATGTGACTTGCAGTTTGTATCGGAAGTTCATATATAGTTAATTTGGGTCTCCTGTCCTTAAGGTTTCCATATCTGGTCTTGTCTTTCATCTACCTAATTCCATTCTTAAAATTAAAGAAAGACAGATGGACGACAGTGGGAATAAATTGGATTCAGTGCTACATACTGTACCAGTGTATAGTGTACAAGAGCAATGTATACATGATAACTCCAAATATGCATATTGTACATATATGTTCACTGTCATCTGTTTGCAACTACAGTTGCTATTGAAACAAGTAACAAACATTATTGGAACTTAACAAGTATAAACACAAATGAACAGTTATGTTACAGTATTATTCTGTGAGTAAAAAGGTAAATATGTCTTTGTGATATTGATATTTATAATAATTATAGTAAAATAATTATATAAGAGGTCATTTTAGTGGACCCAATTGTGATTAACTAGATGATGAGCTGACACAATTTATTTTAATGGCAAGAAAACAAAATTTGTGAAGCCTAAATGATATGTACCAGTTCATAAAAAATATTATTACATCTTCTTTTCCTAATACTGAAATATTGTTAAGAATTTACTTAACTATGCCTGTGAGTAATGCAACAGGAGAGAGATCTTTATCTATTTTAAACAGTGGCGTGCCGTCATTGGAAGTGGTGGATGCACCACTTTCCTTGTATTTTATAAAAAATAAATACATATTAATTTTAATTATATGAAAATAATCGCACAATATTTTATTATAACTGCATTATGTATCTTATTACAAATTTCTATACTATACATGGAAAAAAAGATAAGATTGCTATTGTATATTCGAATATTAGTGGCGAAGTGGAAGCGCTGTATTGTCAGAATCCAAAAAGCCAGATTCGCGCATGCGCTCTACAGAGCACCAACCTCACCCAGTTTAGCTGGTGGAAGCCTAGGACCTTGGGTGGATGTTACACGTATACCGCATCCAATTCTATCTGGGACTAGTTCTGGGCTGTTAGCTGTCTGCCTGCTAGATATTTGGCCACCCTCGCCTGATTACGTGAATCGAGAGTAGATTTATAACTTAACCAACCAATAAGAATTTACTGGTATGTTTTTATGATAGTTCCATATAGTTGACAGGAGTTTAAAAAATCCATTAAAACATTTGATATTTTTATTCCGCTCTCCGATTTAATATTACTCACAGATTTCAATGTTAAACCAGTGATATTACGATTTCATATATCCCATCTTTAAGGGGATGTAGAAGAAAATGTGTACAATTCTTGTATAATGTTAAAAAATTAACTGTTACTTTGACAGCATCATTTACAACTAAATTTAATAAATGAGAGAGATTCATGAGGTACAGAAAAAGCTCTAGAATTTATTTTCCTTAAATTTACGATTTATGTATCCGTTTGTCATAAAAATTTGACTTTTCACCTTTTTCCCGAGACTACAAATATTCGAGTACAAAGTAACTGGTTTCGACTTATTTCTACTTAAGTAGTAGTTAAATAATTAAGTGATTAGGGAATTGGGGACATAAACAAAACCCTGATGAAAGAACCGAAATTTTACTTAAATAAAAGCTTAACCGAACCATCTCTAGCCAAGTACAGTAAAGACTGATTTCTTCGTATTACTAATGTAATAAAGACAGAAATTTTTCCAGTTCAACAAGAGTGACCAAAAAGTTGTAAATTTTGGAAATTTCTGAGGACACTTGGTCCTAAAATGAATTAGTTAAACTTATTAGTCATTTGTTTTCTAACATATTTAAATTTTTACAGCTATGGTGAGAAACGTTTAAAATCTACAACAGCCCTGGTGCATCCTTTGAGATATACTAGTGATGTGACCAAAGAGGTATTTGACATTGACCGGTATCGGCACCCTGGGGATTTGGCAGTCCGTGTGTATGCACGCTTTGCAACTGTCTTCGATTCCATCCATTAGCCACTTGTAGGGAGCTATTTGACTAAGTACATTGTTTTAAGATTTAAAAAGTAAAGAATATTTTATATTTTTATGTATAGTACGTTTCTTTACAAAGCTATATTTAATTATAATTTTCTTTAAAAGTATATTCATACAATTGAAGAATATTTTGTACCAGGTATGTACCAGTACATCCACCACACATTTTATTTCATCAAGTAAGTATTTATTATTTTATTTTTAATTGTAGCCCTTATATCGTGGATAGAGATTCGAAATGTAATTGTGATATTAAAAATGCATTTAGAGAAGTCTACGGTTTTTACTGGCTTATCGAATAAACGATACGAATGGACCCTAGACCATCACTGATGCACAATTGACTGGTTGCCCCTGGATGTCGGCTTCTTACAGAAACACAGCTTCCGTATCATCAAATGTCAAGGCACACCAATGATTTTAAAACAAGTTAAAAATTATTTAAGAAATTCAACAGACAGGAAAGGCTAAGATCTTTAGCAATGCTTACTATAGAAAAAGATACTCTCAAATGGCTAGAGTGTGAGGATATTATTAATCAATTTTCTGAAACGAAAATCCAAAAACAAAAAATTTAAATTTTTTAAAGGCTGATTAATAACTATAATTATACCAGTATATATTTTTATATATTTTTCATTATACCAGAAACTCTATTATACAATTATTACTGTATTAGTGTTTGTATTCTCTATTATTAATAAAAATTTTAGGTGACATTATTTAAGATTTCTTTAGAAGCAACTTATTTACATCAGGCCCCAATTAAAATTTTGTCTAGGGCCTGCTACAGGCTTAATCTGACACTGATTATACTAAATTATATAACAAATTGAAAAATTAGTATCATTTCAAATTTTTAATTCAGTTTTTTGAGCTAGTGGCACATACACAATTTTTGTGGAACATCAACAAATAAAAGTTGCTCTTATATATACATATAATGAAAAGTGATTGTTGAAGATTACATTTTTTTTTTATAAGAAAAAATAAATTTGTGCAGATTTTAATTTCCAAGAAAGCAGATACTTTTATGTTTTTTACTTTTCATATAAAAAAATTTACAAAAAATATGATAAAATAAAAACAATTACCATTTTTAATTATTTATTGAAATTTTGTAGCACTCCTATGAGAAAATTTGTAGCATCATTACTTAATTGATGATCATCCCCAATGCAATAAATACTAATTATTTGTAAAATATTTTTTATGCATCATTTTACAACAGAAATACATTTGGTCTTTCTGTTGTAAAATGTTCAGCATATTTATAGTTACCATATGTCTGAAAATTTCTGGATTTTTTTGTTGTTAAAAAACATCTGGTAGGATTTTAATTGTATCCGGTAATTTTCCTACCAGTTGTATAGTTGAATATCATCTACAATATAATTTAGTACTTATATGCTGATTCATCAACAGTTGTTTAAAACTATTAGACACAACATGCTTAATTTGTGAAATCCTTTACATTATAAATTATTATACAATTTTATATAGTATTCATCAGCATAATATTTCAATACAATTTTTAAATGATCCAGAAAGATATCATTTTCCAAATTTAATAATGTTCCTTATGTCTTTTAGATTTGAATATGTTTTTTGAAATTTTTTGTCATAATTTATCTTAGTTTTTCTTGAAGTAGACAAATAATCAGGTTTAGCTTTAAAATTCTAATAAGGAAACATTCAAGCTTCAGCATCCTGGATTTTGCTGAAATTTTAATAAATTTTAGTATACCCTATTCATTAATGCATGGTAACTCATGCCTTTGACCAGTAGTTTACAAGAAATCCATTAAAAAATTATTTAAACTGTTCTGTGAACATGATATATAAAGTTCTATAAACAAATTGTAACAAGTAGTCATGGGCAAATAAGTAAGGCACTAGATTGTAAAGCTTAAAGATGCAGGTTTATCC